TGTATGTACTGTTCTTGAATCACCTTGCTGTTGCTATCTGTACTATGTCCAGGCCTGTTCTAAAAATATTGTTCTGTCGAAACCTTAAGGGTTTTGCATGTGTAAATAATGGAATTTGAATGAGTAGATTGGGATCCATGATAGAGTTTAAAAATATTGTTGTTTGGATCGTTGATTTGACAGAAGTACTTTTATAGTGTGTTCAATAATTTAGTTTATATCTACCCAACATGGGTAGAATTAAGCAATCATTACTTCCCGAAAGAGATTTGAGACATACGAGATTTGCTAGTTCAGTCAATTGTGGAGAAGACAATAACTCTAAAGAAAAAGAAAAGAACTTATGTCATACTATCTTTTCTTTTTTTTACAAAAGATAATTATATATTGATTCCAAAGAAAAGATAATTACATCTTGGAATTCAGCCAGGCCTGATAGTTAAAGACACGACTCATGATCGGGTACAAAGAGAGGGCTTTCCTAGCCACAAGATGGGCTACCCTATTACTACTCCGACCTACAAATCGAACCCTCAATCTAGGATGGATGCGAAAATAGTGCAAGATCTCCTCCAGAACCGCACCCATCCTATTGTCTCTGGCATCACTTTGATTGATTTTTATCAATGATCACCTTAGCATCACCCTCAAATAGGACATTGGTGAAGTTATTCGCCAGACACAATATAGCCGCCTCCCTGAGAACAAGAAGCTCCACACTCATCGGATCCTCCAAGAGATGAAACTGAACACCCTTAACCATTAGTACCGCCCTAGTCGGGGAAAACAGAACAATCCCTCCAGCCGAATGCGATCCAGGGCGAATTGCCCCATCCCACATACAAACAACCCCGCCAGCCCCTTCCAACCCCAAATCTTCCCTCAAAGGGGCTGAAGGTTGGAGAGCCTTCTCCACAGGAAGTCGAACCCATTCCTCATATTGCTGATGAAACTGGCGCATCAAAGCAGGGGACCCAAACTGTTTCCCTTCAAAGCCCACCCAGTTACGAGAACGCCAAATATGCCAGAGGACAGCCACCACCGCCATAAACAACTGGGGTTGGTGAACCAAAGCCATCAGCTTTTTGAGAAACAATAGGAATGTATGCCGAGGCAGTCCCTCCCCTACATACTCTAGCCCAGAGTAATCCCAAAGACCCCGCGCCACCGGGCATTAAAGAAACAAATGTTTCCATCGTTTTTGGACTTTCCCAGCAAACCGGACATCGAGGGAGAACGGGAACTCGTTTGCTAATAAGAGCTTCAGTAGTTGGTAAGATCTGATTGAGAATCTGCCAGACAAATACTTTCAGCTTAGGGGGGATATTCGCTTCCCACAAACGGATCCAACTAGCCTTATCCATCCAGCTAACCGTGGCCTTCCAGCACCCACTCCGCTTATCCAAAGCAATTGCCAAGTGGTATGCAGATTTGACAGAGAACAGCCCATCAGTCGTGTCATGCCAAATTAACCTGTCCTCCACACTCTGACGAGGAAGAGGAATCGCTTTGATGGCCCGATAAGTTGGAGGATCAAACCACTGGCTCAGTTTTTGGTCATCTCAACGCCCCTCCCCCTGGCAAATGACCTCAGCCACAGGGGGATCCCCACCCACCGGAACGATCATAGGATTATAACTCGGGGGATCGAGCTGGAACTTCGGGATCCAGCTAGAATGCAACAAAGAAGCAGATTGCCCATTACCAATTTGCCATCTTAATCCCTTCTCTAACAACTGACGTCCAAACAGAATACTCTGCCAACCCCAAGAAGGGCGAGAGCGGGCCGTAGCTTTCAAAAATGTCTCATTAGGGAAATACTTGCCCCTGTAGACCTGGGCGAGAAGGGATTGCGGTTCAGTAAGGATGCGCCAGCCAATTTTGGCTAGGAGCGCTTGGTTAAATTGCTCAAACCGCCGAAACCCCATCCCTCCATCATGCTTGCTTCTGCACTTATTCCGCCAGGACATCCACCGAACCCGATGGTGACCCTCAGCATCTCCCCACCAGAAACGCGCCACATAATTATCCAGAAGACGACAAAGAGAGACCGGAAGCTTGAAACAGGACATAACATGCAGGGGCAATGCCAAGGCAATTGACTTGATCAGCGTTTCCTTAGCCGCCCAAGATAACGTCCTCTACTTCCACCCCTGGAGGCGCTCTAACAACTTTTCCTCCAAGAACCGGAAAGTCGCCGTTTTAGATCGAGCAATCAGCGTAGGTAAGCCTAGATATTTGTCATGGACACCCACCGCCCCCACCCCCAGAATTGCCGCCAGGAAATCCTGGTCTTCCCGCAGGATATTTTTACTGAAGCAAACCGCAGATTTAGCCAAGTTCACCTTCTGGCCACTCATTTCCTCTTATTCATTCAAGACCCCCATCAGATTCTCACATTCCTGAAGGGTGCCTCGTAAGAATAAGTACGAATCATCCGCAAAAAATAAGTGCGAGATCCTAGGTGCCCGAGGAGCCACCTTGACACCCTCAAGTCTCTTTTCAGCAATAGCCTTCTGAAGCAGGGCAGATAAACCTTCCGTACAAAGCACAAAGAGGAGAGGGGATCGCCTTGACGCAACCCTCTGGAAGGGGAAAAGAAGCCCGATGGAGTCCCATTCATAAGGACTGAGAACGATGATGACCTGAGACACTCATGAATCCATCCTTGCCAGACGGAATTAAAGCCCGTTTTGTCTAGAACAGCAAGAAGAAATGGCCATTCGACCCTATCATAGGCCTTTTCCATGTCAACCTTTAGGGCCATGTACCCTTTCTTACCTCGCGTTTTAATTTTCAAGTAGTGCATTAACTCGTGGCCCAGGAGAATATTGTCAACAATTTGACGTTCTCATATGAATGCATTCTGACCTTCTGAGATGACTTGTGGCAGGACGCAGGCAATCTTTCCGCCATGATATTAGTGATAACTTTATAGACAAACTGGCATAAACTGATTAGCCGTAACTGCCTCATAGTTTCCACAGTCTCCACTTTTGGGATCAATGTGAGCCAAGTATGGTTGAAACTGCGCAGCATCCTACTCGTAGCAAAGAAGGAACAGACTGCATCGATAACCGAGTCCCCCACGACATCCCAAAAGGCCTTGAAGAACTTCCCAGTGAAGCCATCCGATCCAGGAGCCTGTTTAGAGCACATGGCAAAGACCATTTTTTGCACCTCCTTGGGGAGCACCGCAACAGTTAGGGTGTCGTTCATTGCTGAAGTAACACTATGAGCAATTGATAACGCAGCCACCCGCTCAGCCATGTTTGCCACCTGGCTTTCCGTGGTAAATAGGCGTTGATAAAAGGACGTCGCCACTCCAGCCTTCCCAGGTTCGTCAGTGACCCACACCCCCTCATCAGTCCGAAGACCTTCCACAAAATTCTTTTTACGGCGAGTCTTGGTCACTGTATGAAAATACGAAGTACTTTTGTCACCCTTCTTTAACCAGTTGACCCTGGACTTCTGCTGCCAGTAAAGCTCCTCAGCCTCCCACTGCCGATTCAACTCCACTTCTAAAATCCGGACCGCCTCCCAATCAATTGGATGGGAAGCTTTAATCCGCTCAATTTCGCCCTGGAGAGTATTAATATTCCGTAATGAATTGGTAGTCCCGGCTTGACTCCAATCATATAACAGGTGCCGCAGTCTTTTGAGGCGTTACCAAAGGCGAAACATAGGAGTACCCTGAACATCGTCCTTCCAGACATAATTAACCATAGTTCTGACCTCTGGATTATCCGCCCAACGGGCATCAAACCTAAAAAGAGGGCAACAATTTATTGCATAGGGTTTATCCGAGAGAAGGAGAGCCCGATGATCAGACCCTTGGTCCGTAAAATGCTTGACCAAGGTCTCCAAGAATCGGTCCATCCAAGACTGGGAGCAAAGGGTCATCTCTAGACGTTCACGGATACAGGCTGCACCCATCCTCTTATTTGTCCAGGTGAATTGATCCCCGGGAAACCCAGGATCATGGAGCCCCAGATCATGAACAAATTCTCGTAGGCTATTAGCCTGGGAGGCATTCCAAGGGTTACCACCATCCTTCTCACTCTCATGAAGGGTTGTATTAAAATCGCCAATATTAACATAAGGAAGGTGGAAGGTAGAGCAGAGCTCCTGAAGCTGAGCCAATTGGGAAGCTCTAATCGTGACATTACAACTAATGTAGATAGAGACCACAATATAAGAGAAATCCATTTCATTAATCCGGGAACAAATACAAAAATTGGAATGATAAAACACCGAAGCATCAACTCCGGTGACCAAGCTACTACTAACCCACCAGATGCATCAACAGCATCCACAAAAAAACAATTGGACATAACAAAACCCAAACCCCGCTTACGGCAGGAGACAACACGCTGGCTCGATCGTGTCTCCGAGAAGAACACGAGATCTGGTTTATTCAAACGAACTAAACCGACAGGAGTTTGGAATGTGAGGGATGGTCCAATTCCTCTCACATTCCAGGCCAATAGCTTCATTTATCTGACTGAGGCCATTTTAGGCTGGCTTCCTCCACCTATTTCAGATCAGCAACTTCCACGAATTGTTTTTTTGGCGTGGGTATATCACCCAAGTCGCCCTCGACAGCCTCCAGCAGGCGCTTGCACTTACCAATGTCTGGGTTCAATAAATTTGACCCGTACTCATCCAGCTGTGATCTATCCTCCTCGATCATAACATGTTCTTCTTTATTCGGCATAACATTCCCCATCTGCTCCTGCAGAATGGCCTGCTCCACTGAATTGATGGTTAGCCCAGCTTCAAAAGCGGCTACGACCTGGCTAACATGCCCCTTCGCGGTAGCACTCGGTTCTGTTGGAGCGGAGGAGGGAATCCTCTTTTTAATTTCAAAGCAATGAGTATCCTCCTCCTAATCCGACTCCGCTGAAACAAGGGCCTTCACCAATTCCACCGGGAGATCCGAATCCTAGACTTGCCCAGATGGGCCAGCAATCCCCACAGGCCTATCCTGCATCGGCCCTTCACCACCCCCTTTCTTCGGACCAGTATCCAATTTGACCGCCCCTTGCCTTACCCTGGGCTTTTCTTAACTTCTCCCTTATTTCGGGCTGGGCCAGGCTAAAGTTGGGATGGACTGGATTGTCCACCTGAGGGGACGAAGCGGAGCCATTAATGGACTCGCTCCCTGCATATGGGCGATCTGCACGGCCTGCTGCCACGTCCCCCGATGGACGACGAGTCGAACCAGCCCGCTTCTTCTCCTTTTGGAGGGGGTTTTTCTTAGCAGGGCCCGTGTCAGTGGGCTTAGGGACCTGGTCGACAGCCAGAGCATCATCATCCGAGTCTGTTTCGAGGATGAGTAGACGTCGCCGTGTCTGTGCGAGCACGCCAGAGGGGTGGTCATCCAGCTCCGGTGGAACAGCAATAGGATCGCCAACGCTCCCACAATCCTCACTCTGGTCATCACCATGCATATTCCTGTTATTCCGTTCGTCCTCAGTTCCCCGCTTGCCTTGTCGTTTAAGTTTTCCTCCCCCAAGCTGGATCTGTGGCGGTTTGTTGAGGGAGAACCCCCGCGGACTGGTTTTCTTGCTCGGAGAGATCCTCAACCCCTGAGCCTGACTTGGGTTGCTAGCTACGCTGGATCTTCCCGTGGCTAATAGAGGAGCCGCCTCAAACTTCTTACTAGCCACCTGTCGTTCCTCCTCTCGGCCACGAATATATGTTCGAGCCATGTTAACAGGGCCATTAACCTGTCGATTAACCCAAACCGTCTGCCGCAGGCCCCTGGCTTTCATGGTATCGACCTCGTCATCATAAATCCTTCGTCCCAACTTTTTTGTCGACATCTGTGGGCCAAAACATTCTTTCCTACTTGCCGGATCAAAAGCAGAGTCACCCAAAAACAACCAATATAATCACTAGCCGCCAACAGTTGGGAGCGGAGTGGTTTGGCAAAGTCTATGACAACACGAACTTTGATAAATCGCTCCCCCGTATCCTTGCAAGCAAATACGTCGGACTGTAAGACTTGACCAATGGCTGAAGCCACGATCTTACGCCCAAAGAGTTTGGTGCAGCAATCGTCTCGCACGCCCCAAATTTGGATGCGGAAAGGAGCTATGGATAACTCCTCAAAGGTCTTCTGAGAAATAGAAGGTGCCCAGGCGCGGATGTTGAGGATCTTGTCCTTAATAATCCATGGGGAACGTTTCAAAGCCCAGTTCTTAGCCTCCTCGTTAGGCAACAAGATTTCGAACAAACCGTGACTTGCCATGGAGACTTTCACCCGCCCCTTGATCTGCCAAGCGTCGACCAAAGCATCTCACAGCTCCAGAGTCGAGATTTGGTCAGCGGTGAACCACCGTCCTAGAAGAGTGCGCGACGCACGAAGCTTCGTGGATTGAACCTCATCCAGGGAGAACTGGACGACCTGATCTTCTGTCACATGAACCATACCTCGAGCCTGACAAGAAGAGGCAGTATGCAATCGAGGATCATTAATAAGAGTCTCATGGAGCAAGCCCAGCGAAAGGGGATCCTTCGACATATGGGTTGGACCATGTTGGCCAAACAAATCATAATAAACAGCACCCTTCGAGGAGGGATGTAAACGGGTTGTAAGATCAGTTTTCTCCATACCTGAGCTTGAACCGGACGCACCAGGTTGAGAGGGAATTGCTGCGAAGGAGAAACCACCCACACGAATTTTTGTTTGGTATTGGTGGTAAATCAGCCGCAGCAGAGGAGAATATATAATGAGAAACGCAGCAGTAGCTGCTTCTCTTGAGGCTAACGCGTGAATCCACTTGCCATTAGCAATTTGAGTTATAGTGGAAATAGGAGAGCTACCACATCTCAAAATTCTGCCGTTAAGGTTGTTAGGAGAGATAATACTACCCCAATCCTCCCCAAAAACCCACGGTAAATCCCCGCCGAATCGGTTGACAACAGACCCGGATCCTATCCCCCGATTTTTACGTGATTTGTGTACACCCTTTGTCAGCGACAATGGCCAGCAGCCGCCGGCGGGATATCTGGTGTGGGGGACAAACGTATTCGTTGCCGGCCATTGTAACGCCGGCTTTTGCATATCTGCCTCGCACACAAAACAGGGGATGCTTCTTTTAGCACACTGAATTCCATGATCCGATCTTATGATGTGCATAGGATTATCACCACCTGTAGGCTGGGTTACCGGCGATTCCTCCACACCCATCTCAGATGCAAGTAGGAGCCAAAATCGCCAACCCTTCAACGGCATAAATCTGCCTCTTTTGTTAAGGGCGATGAAGAGGGAATCATCAATCCCCCATGCAGCACCTCTTTTCTGCTTCTGATGACATAGTTCCGACTTGCGTGCCGGCGTGGTGTGCTTCCGATGGAACCCCGACTTTCTGCCCTTCGGCTTACTCGGAAGTTCTACACCTCATCGTGAGGCCACTCTAGGAATGATTGTTGATTGAACTTATGTCATACTATCACTTGTAGATAACTTGAAAAAGGAAAAACACACAGTGTACAGTACCCTTCTATATATAGGCAACTAATGCGGTTCTCGCTAGTATGTATGTATGTCCTAAAAGGTTATTATCAAAATCAAATTCTTACTTTTACTCATTCCTTTTTGATTGTTATGTTTTTGTCAGCATAAACAGGTGTACTACATGGCTCCTTTGGCTACCATGATACTTGGTGTGCCAGCAATGCTACTAGAAGGCAATGGGGTTCTGGAATGGTTTCATACGACGCACGAGACTATCTACTCTTCCCTTTTTATCATACTCCTATCTGGTGTACTTGCCTTCTGCCTCAACTTTTCCATCTTCTACGTGATTCATTCAACAACAGCTGTCACCTTCAATGTTGCGGGAACCTCAAGGTAGAAAAAGGAAAACTTGGTATCCTCCACTAGTTCTGATTTTATGCATATCATATTCATCTAGGGAGTGGATGTTTTGGAGACAAAAATGAACTTAGAAGTTCAAGCAAACATAGTTCTTCCATCTAACTTTCTAAAACAAACTGTTGATGCTGGACACCTGACTCGCTAAAACACAACACCTAACAAAGGCCAAGTGTAACCAATGAAAGGGACTGCAGTATAGTGGCTCAAGTGATAAATATCGAATCCACGGGTCTCTAGAGTTACTATTACTCAGCTTCAGTTTATTATTTAGCAAATCAGATTAAGATGAAAGAACTAAAACTACTCTAGCAAACTACAGTTAAAGTTAATCTAATTACAGGTTGGGAACTCACTTATGTATGATTCCCCCTAGCCACTAGCCAGATTAATGATTGATGATCTCTAACCTGTTTCACTTTCATTCACAATGCGGAGAATCCTTGACTAGACCTTGAGTCTCGACTAAAGGAACAAGGCCCTCTTGAGTCAATTGCCTAGAGGGACGTATCCTTCTCTAGAACAACTGATCAAGGCGTTCTGAACTAGACTCCCTCTATCGAAAGAGGTTCTCAATCGATACAAAGCAGTGAATCAACCCTCGACTAAAGCAATCGATCCACTACTATCAATCTATGGTGCTCTATTGACCTAATCAGGTATTCCCTCTCATAGAATCAAAGCAGAATCAATAATCTCGACTAAAGCAGAATTGAATCATGAAAACATGCATAGATTGAATATGAACTCAAGATTATCCAGTCAGAGTACTCATACAATCATCCAATCAAACAAACATAGCTAGGGTTCCTCAAAACCTAAGTGAAGGGAAGTTACTCCATAGAGAAGAGAGAGACTGCAGTAAGAATCTTCAGATGATCAGTCTTCAAGTCCGGGCTTGTTCCTCGAGCTTCCAAGGCGAAGAAATCCTCCTTCTCTACTCCAAGAATGCCCTCAAATCGCCCTCTCTCTCTAGGGTTCGTCCCTTGGGTGTTTGGGATCCAAAAACCCAGCTCTCCCTCTTCTTTGGTTCGGAATTTGGCTTAAAACCAGGAAATCCCGACTCGCACGGCCAGGGTGCACGGCCGTGCATATCACCATTCTGGCCGTGCAACTCAAAACGCAGCGTGTCATTTAGTCGAACTTCAGCCCTCTCGCACGGCCAGGGTGCACGGCCGTGCGAGCTTCAGGGGTTGCCCGTGCGTGTCCTCGGCATAAGGCGCACGGCCATATTGCTCACGTGCACGGCCGTGCAGCCTCCCTGGTCTGCCCGTGCAGCTTGCTCAGCCTCTGTTTAATGCTTCGTTTCTCCCTTGTCCGGACTCCGAATCAGTCGCCGTTTGATCCCAGACGCTCGTAGTCTCGTCCTCTTTCGTTTCTTAACAAGCTTGCATGCTTCTTTGTCCATAAAGTGAGGTAGAAATCCATTCTTCTTCAGGTCATGCCCGAGTTTCCTCTCTCGAATCGTCAATTGATCTCTGATTGACTTGAAACTTGCGCATATGCTTCACTTTATGTGCTAGGACCTGAAATGGTACAAAGGAACACAACCTAGCATAAAATAGGCCACAACACACGAATATGCCCCTCAAACGGATAAGAACTAGGGGCGCAAACATGTGCAATTACATCGTTATCAAACTCCCCCACACTTAACCGTTTGCTTGTCCCCAAGCAAACCTAACTCAAACCAATGCAACTCTCCAGACCTCTATAGCAACAAACAACCTAGATCGTAGGTAGAGGACTTCCTAGATCATTTAGCAGCTTACGAGGTCAACCGACGCACAAGTCATCTCATAGCTTCTTCGGTCAGTCGGCATCATGGCAAACAGTGAACAGAGGACAAATGAATTGTGGATGAAGAGATTCTCAAAAACAAAAGATCATGGACTCACATTTTTCAAAGTGCTCGATTTTCTTTGAAGATGGTTGGAACCCCTTTTTTCTGTTTTGCTTGTTTTCTGTTATTTTTCTTTTCTTTTTTTCTTTTCAAGGGTCCCAACCTGCTCTTACCGGACATGCCAGGAGCGGATGTCTCGAGCCTCGTGCGGGGGAAAGACATGTAAGGGGGCTGGAGGTAGTAGGTGGAAATTGGGAACGGATTCCCGTCTCCCCTTACACACTTTCGCCCTATTCGCACGGGAGACGTTTATTTTGAAGCACATTTTCGAGCACCTGTTATTTTCAAAACATGATACAAGAGTCCATGACAGGTAGAAAATCCACAACACCACACAATTCAAGGGTCCTAAGATCACTAATTCACTCAATCAACCAACTTTATATGAAGAAGAAATGAGACTTCTTAAATGCATCAACATCCTCCATAGTGCTACACTACCTCCCTAGGTTGCATATTACTATAAAGACTGTCAATTCAAAGCATACTGAGCAGGCAATTGCATGGAACACGTACTTGGAGCCCTCAAATTTAAAAATTTGGACAGTGGACTAGGCTCCAAGCACACAAACAGCCAAACATTCACCCGCATACATAATCGAACATCCCCCCACACTTAAGCACGACATTGTCCTCAATGGAGGAAAGATAAGGAGGGTAGAACGAAGTTACCAGATCAAGGGTGAATGATGATGAACGGGTCAGGCGGTGCATTCCAGAAAGAGAGAGTAATCAGAACACAAACACCACACAAAATCTCACAAAGGTTGAGTTATTGACTCTAAAATCAAAGAACAAAACTGACTCCACCGAAGAGAAATAGAGAAAGAAATGCAAACCGACTGGTTGGGTTGCCTCCCAACAAGCGCTTCTTTCACGTCGTGAGCCGGACGATGGCTCCTAAGTTTCGGTCCATGCTAGAACCTCCTTGAAGTTGAGGTTCTCGTCGATGAGGTGGAGTCTCAAGTCATGAGCATGTGGTGTGACAGGTGATGAAGGCTCATGTACTTGATGCAGATGAAGTCTCCACCCTCGAGACCTCTTCTTCTCTTCTCTCGTCTCATTGCCCCAAACCAGATATGACAACATCGATTAGCCACCATCGCGTCCACCAAGAGGGACCGATGTCGAGGTGGCCTTGGTCTGGCAAAGAGACACTGCAAATGGGTCCTTGCTAAGCAGTTCCTCGAGGTTTGGTGGAGATATCACATGTAACTCATGGCCAGTGCAGGCCTCTTCCACCTTAACTCCGTCCTCAGCCTGGACGCCAATTGCTTCTTCAACCTCTCTTCCTTCTTCATGTGGTATCACCCCTGGGAAATGATCAAGAACTCCTCCTGCTTCACTTTCGTCATCCTCCACAACTTCTTTCTGCACCCTTTCTTGCTCTTCTTCTTCTAGCACGGATTGGAGAGCAAGTTGCCAAGCAATTTCTTTCATGAGATCTTCTTGCATCTCCTCACTCATGCCCGCCTCTTCAAAGCTCAGTTTGGGGTGTGGGAAGGTTTGGTCGGCTACGACAGGACACTCCTGATCATGATCATCACGGGAGCTCTCCGTGACAACTTCAGTGTGCTCCACAATGTCCTTGTAGCCTTCTTCCTCCTCATCTTCTTGTATGGTAGCAGAAGGGTGATCTGGAGCAGGTTGCGCCCAAGATCGCTCAAGATCATCGACGCTCTTCTTAAGGCTCAGGAGGATCTCATCTGTTTCACGATAGGCCTGGACACACAGATCCATCCTGGAGCATGTTCTCTCACAGTCTCGAGCATACTGCTCCATGAGTAACTCCAGTGCCGATGGCCCTTCTGGTTGTGGGAGAAATTCTTCTTGATAATGAGGTTGTTCTTGATATGCCCAGGGGTCCTGTTGTTCTCCGTAGTAGGGGGGTTGGTACTGGAACCCGAATCCATAGTCTTCTCCGCCTTGATTGCTCCAGGGAGTCTCGGGGTAATACCACCCAGATGGTGGTGGATACCCCCAATGATTGGAGAAGCCATTAGGATCCATGATTCAGATCTGCACCAACAAAAACAAAAACACCCAAGTGAAAAGCAAGGGTGGAAAAGAAAAGAAAAACGCTAAAGTAACAAACTTCTGCCTTTCCTAATACTCTAGAAAGTCCCCGGCAACGGCGCCAAAAACTTGACTCGCTAAAACACAACACCTAACAAAGGCCAAGTGTAACCAATGAAAGGGACTGCAGTATAGTGGCTCAAGTGATAAATATCGAATCCACGGGTCTCTAGAGTTACTATTACTCAGCTTCAGTTTATTATTTAGCAAATCAGATTAAGATGAAAGAACTAAAACTACTCTAGCAAACTACAGTTAAAGTTAATCTAATTACAGGTTGGGAACTCACTTAGGTATGATTCCCCCTAGCCACTAGCCAGATTAATGATTGATGATCTCTAACCTGTTTCACTTTCATTCACAATGCGGAGAATCCTTGACTAGACCTTGAGTCTCAACTAAAGGAACAAGGCCCTCTTGAGTCAATTGCCTAGAGGGACGTATCCTTCTCTAGAACAACTGATCAAGGCGTTCTGAACTAGACTCCCTCTATCGAAAGAGGTTCTCAATCGATACAAAGCAGTGAATCAACCCTCGACTAAAGCAATCGATCCACTACTATCAATCTATGGTGCTCTATTGACCTAATCAGGTATTCCCTCTCATAGAATCAAAGCAGAATCAATAATCTCGACTAAAGCAGAATTGAATCATGAAAACATGCATAGATTGAATATGAACTCAAGATTATCCAGTCAGAGTACTCATACAATCATCCAATCAAACAAACATAGCTAGGGTTCCTCAAAACCTAAGTGAAGGGAAGTTACTCCATAGAGAAGAGAGAGACTGCAGTAAGAATCTTCAGATGATCAGTCTTCAAGTCCGGGCTTGTTCCTCGAGCTTCCAAGGCGAAGAAATCCTCCTTCTCTACTCCAAGAATGCCCTCAAATCGCCCTCTCTCTCTAGGGTTCGTCCCTTGGGTGTTTGGGATCCAAAAACCCAGCTCTCCCTCTTCTTTGGTTCGGAATTTGGCTTAAAACCAGGAAATCCCGACTCGCACGGCCAGGGTGCACGGCCGTGCATATCACCATTCTGGCCGTGCAACTCAAAACGCAGCGTGTCATTTAGTCGAACTTCAGCCCTCTCGCACGGCCAGGGTGCACGGCCGTGCGAGCTTCAGGGGTTGCCCGTGCGTGTCCTCGGCATAAGGCGCACGGCCATATTGCTCACGTGCACGGCCGTGCAGCCTCCCTGGTCTGCCCGTGCAGCTTGCTCAGCCTCTGTTTAATGCTTCGTTTCTCCCTCGTCCGGACTCCGAATCAGTCGCCGTTTGATCCCAGACGCTCGTAGTCTCGTCCTCTTTCTTTTCATAACAAGCTTGCATGCTTCTTTGTTCATAAAGTGAGGTAGAAATCCATTCTTCTTCAGGTCATGCCCGAGTTTCCTCTCTCGAATCGTCAATTGATCTCTGATTGACTTGAAACTTGCGCCTATGCTTCACTTTATGTGCTAGGACCTGAAATGGTACAAAGGAACACAACCTAGCATAAAATAGGCCACAACACACGAATATGCCCCTCAAACGGATAAGAACTAGGGGCGCAAACATGTGCAATTACATCGTTATCAACACCCCCATGGATTATTAAAAATCTGAAAGTCACATCACTAGTAAAATTCCAGTTCTTTTCCCCTTGTAAAATTCCAGTGCCCTTGATCTCTACTACTTCATGCCTGATGATCGATTTCCCATTTGTTGTCAATGACGGGAATCATTATTTTTCTACAGGTTGCAGTTGTCGTGCTGATTTCATGGTTGATATTCAGGAACCCAATCTCAGCGATGAATGCTGTGGGATGTGCTATCACGCTCGGTGGATGTCTACATCTACAAAATAATATAAGGCAATGTCAACATACAGGTTTTGCCACGTCAGTCCCTCATGCAACCGGCGCACACTTCGGAGGGTCTTTAACGTCAATTCAACAATTCTTCTCTTTCTCCATTCTGATTCCCGTTCTCCTGGCGATAGCTTCTGTTTCTGTATTCGCACCGAGTCTTCCAATCCCCGCCGGAATCGAATTTCCATTCTCCCGGCGATAGCTTCTGTTTCTGTCTCCGTCCCGAGTCTTCCAATCCCCGCCGGAATCGAAGAAGTTCCTCTAGCCCTCTGCTCTGTCGCCATACCTCGGGAAAAGCCCCTTCATCTGACCTGTCGTGGATGGCCTGTGTATCCATTAGTTGCATCTCGCTGCTGCTGCTACTCTTTTCGACCTGACTGAAGGCATATCTCATATTTCCTGTAAGTTCCCTAACTTTGATTATTGGTTTTTCGCCTTCTATGAATCTGTAAATGTGATTTCCTTGTCGCCTTTTTCTTCCAATCCCTAACGTAATAGAAGCCCTTTGTTCCGTCTTTGTGTTTTGTCGCCATAGCTTAGGGAAAAGGCTCTTCATGTGACCTGTCGTCGACGGCCTGTGTATCCCACTTGCTGCCTCTTGCTGCTGCTGCTCTTTTCGAGAAGAACCTCCAAAACTCCAATAGCCCTTAATCTAAGGCATATATCCTATTCCTCTAAGTTCTCTAACTTTTGTCTATTTGGATTTTGCATTCTATAAATCTGTAACTGTGATTTCGTTGCCGCCTTTGTACCATAAATTTTTTCTTTACCAATGAGATTCGACCCAATTACAGAGTATTAGCTATCGTCACTGTTGTTTGAAGTTGTGTATTTGTTCCGTTCTTTGGATGAGAAATATACTCAATCTCTAAATTAGGAAGGGAGCCTGCGTTTGTTGCAAAATCATTTTACCTTCATTGATTGGTGACCTTTATTGCTGACATTTTTTTGTCTTCAGCTATTGCAGTAATGCCTCCGAAGTGTTGTCGCGGTGATGCATCATGGAGTCATGAGCACGAGTCATCTATTTCAAACACTGTCACTCGATGTAATATTTTCATTCTGCATTCATTTTCATGTTTGTATTAGGAGTGTATAAAATATATGCAGGCACCTGTTTAGAGATATTATTTTCTACTCCATTATGTCTTTGTTAGGGAAAGGCAGGGCAATATGTGCCTCGCTTGAAGGTCCAACTCTAGCTGAAGTTGGCGTGGAGAGAGCGCGTCTTGAGGGTGGTAAGTGAATGCCGTTAAATGTGTCCTTCATTTTAATTTTCAGTTGTTCTTACTGGGATGATTTTTATTCTTAGTTATTCACAAGTTGAAAGCCAATATCACTTGCGTGGATCGACTTCTTGCGACCTTGACTAAGAGGAGAAGAAAATTCCTTTTGGTGGTACGCTGAATGCATCAAGTGCGTGTTGTTTGAGTCCTGAGTATGTCACTGTCTGCCTTTCGCTTATGTTTGCTTGAATTAGTCCCAACTTATTATTTTGAATTATAGTTTGTGCTCAGTAATAGCATGATTTGTGATGCTATTCCTTATGCTGCATTAGTTCTAACTTTTATAAATGTTTATAAAAGTTCAGTTATACAAATAGAAAGTTTGTTGCTTCAAATTCAAGTGATTATCTTGGTAATGTTATACATGTTTATGGATCCATATAAAAGCATTTGGAAATGGGACACTCAGATCTATAATTGACTAATTTTGCAGGGCTTCTCCAATCTAGAATGTGTACATATAACGAAAGTGGGGATCAAGAAGAAAAAAAAGTGATTACTCTTAGGTTTTTTTATACAGCTTATTTAAAACGAGATCAAAGTCTTTTTCTTTCCCCATTTGATCTATGTATTTTGCCTTAATGAACTGTGAATTGAGAGCAACTGTGAAAAAGTAAATAAGTATTTTGTAATATTACATAGCACTTATGCATTGATTGAATGTAATGAGAAACCATGTTTCTTAGTTCTCTATCTTTATATACTGCATACTACATACTCATTGTTTCTATTACTGTACCACATATGATGTTCCTTTGAAGGCCTTACAGGCTAAGCGTAATTGAGCTACCAGAATGATTCAAATATGTCAATAAAGGAAGAGAATAATGGAGTTCCTAGATCTTTTTTTTCGACGCGGTGAGTCATCTATATTTTATCAAATTTTGTTTGTTCATATACACGAGACTGAACTTAATCCGTATATGTGTATTACAGGTTATCCGATAGTAACATAATTAAAAAACAAGATAATAATGTAAGGTGTTTGTTTCTGTCAAAGTTCTAAGACTTTGAGACCATAGAATTTACTTAACATGCACTATGTCTTTGTTGTCAACTCTAGGGAAAACTCTTTGCTATTGAAGGGCAAGTTACCATAATAAGATCAAATTGGTGCTACATGTGGTGTGTGGTCTGCCCTCGCAAAGTGGAAGAAGACTTGGAGGAGTACTTTTGTGGACAATGCAAGACGACTGCTAAAGCCAAATAAGCTAATATCATGTTTCATTTATTGTGCAAACTGAAATGTGCTCTTTTTGATGTTTGAATCCATTATAGGAATTATCATATTACTTCACGTTGTGAAAGAGGGATACAAACTCATGAGTTTTGTTTTGTTTATTTTTTCCTTCACTGTAGGTATAGAGTGCAACTCCATTTGCAGGATGGTAGTGGTGAAGCTGATTTTGCCATTTGGAGCATGGAGGCCTGCGTTTTTTTTTTTTTTTTTTTTTTTGGAGCAATGGCTGATGTCTTATTCCAAGAAAACCAGAGGAAGAAAGAACCTATACCTCAACAGATCCAGCAAGTAATTAATATGACACACAAATTGCATGTTAAGCTTAGTGAATTTAACTTCATGAACTCTCAAGCTGAATATTCTGTGGTAAGATTGGATCATGATCCTCTTCGGGTAAGTGAAGAACAATTCAGCTGTCCTTAAGTTCTTTTAGGTAGATAGAGCAAATTATTTCCATGTTTTGACTTTTGATACTCTATTTTTCTGTAATTTTATTCCGGCAAGTGACTGACGCCTCAAGTGAATCCCTTATAGAGGAAGCTTCTATTTTGAAGGAGACCAGCAACACTGATTCAAGTGTTGAGAAATTTGCAGGTACAGTCTCAACTGGATTGGAAAGGAAAAATGAGGCTGACTGTGACTTTGAGGAAGACATAATGGAGTGGAATGGCAGAAGCTTTAGTTGGTTAAAGTCATATTCTGAACCTTTTATTTATTAGTATTATGTTGTACATTTATGGGTTAATTCTGGATTCTTCGATATTTACTAAGTTTGAAGCTTAAGATTGTACATATTTTGGTTATTATTATCCAAAGACAATATGAATTTGATGTTGAAAATGGTATGCAGCTGATTGGTGAATCATACGACCAATTTATTTTCCATATTTTGTCTGAGGTCCAAGTTACATCATTTTTTTCAACAGTAACCAGCCTGTATAAGTTTTGACAGTATCACTTTCACTTTCCTGTCACTATTTTGCTGAAACTTGCAGGCATATTGCTTCCCAGGGGGTTTCAAGTTATGTCTTAGATTTAATTTCATGGATTTATTTATTCTTTTATTATGTTACATTGATGCTTTACAACATAATTCAAAATATCAATTGTCTGAGTTATGAACACTGCTTATTGATTAAATAATTGAATTAAGATTTCAAATTGCTTTAGTCGTATTGTTGAAGTATTTCATACATTATCCGGCCAACGGGCCGGGTCCAACGCTAGTACTTTCTATGGATATGTAAGGCATTTGTTGTCACAACAGCCAGCCCCTCAAGGAACTCCGCGGACGCCCAAGACTGCAAGAAGCCGAATGGAGTTACTGCCTCTTGTAAACGATAAATTAGATGATAAGGTCTGAATTAGTGAAATGGGGAGCTTTACATGATGATGATGATGATGATGATGATGATGATGATCGTAGGGAGGAGTAATTTGTACTAATGTACAAGGAACTGATGAAATTCTGGAAAATTATTTAAATGTGTTGTAGTGAACTTGACTGATTAACCATACAAGTTCAATACGAGTTTACTTTTGCTTGCTCAGGAATAGGAAACGTGTTTTTCCAGCTGCCTACATGTATTATCAGTCGATTTCCAGTGTCTAGCTAGCTAGTAGTGGCAGGAGGACTAAGATCCCCAAGAGAATTGATATTTGTTCTTGAGAATGGAAAAAGAAAGTTGGGCTAACTTAGTTCCGTCATTTTGTATTAATATCCATGATCTTGAAGAAAGTTATACGTAGAGGTGTCAATTGGGCGGGTTGGGTCGGATTCGGATTGGGTCTAACTGGGTTGGGTTCAATCGGGTTGCGAGTTCAATCGGGTCGGTTTCAATTTGGATCGGGTTTAATTGGGTTGCAGGTCAATTGTGTTACGAATCAATCAGGTCAATTGGGTTATGGATCGGGTCGGGATATGGGTGCATCAAATTATGGGTTTATTGGGTTGCGGGTTAATTCAGGTTCGGTCAGGTTGGATTATGGGTTATTCGGGTCAACCCATTGGATCATTTACTTCTTGACAAAATATAATGCTTTACAAACTATCAATATATGAATATAAATGGTAGGTAATGATACAAAATTTTAAAAAAAAATGATAATATGATAATATTTGACACATACAAATTAAATATCCATTATGTTAGTATAAAAACTAAATATAAATAAAATAATGTATATAAAAGCTTTGTTGTTGGTTATAATTTTTTTGTTTATGGTGAGAGATTGTATCTTACTTATTTTATTATTTATAAAAAATTGAATCAGTAAAAATTTGAGAATGAAGTAAAAAAGGTAGAGTATACACTTATATATCTCGATATGAATCGTCTTAATTAAATATAGTATGAACTAGATGTGTGTCTCTTCATTTTCACGAAGACTTATAAACATCATTCCGAATCACCCACTTATATATCTTCACAATTTTTTATATATTCACGGTTACATCTCATCCTAAAACTCATGGGCCGAACAACGGTTCACTCAAATATGATATTATCTTCTAGTTCGAATCGTCGATTTATTAATTTATAAAAAAATAAATAAAATCAGTAAAAATTTGAGAATGAAGTAAAAAGGGTAAACTATCCATTTATATATCTTGATAGGGATCATTGATTTCATTGATTTTGGGGATTTCATTGATTTTCAAGGGTTGATTTTTTTAATATAGTTATGGGTGGTGGAGATACGAATTTGTGTCTAACTCTTCCTATTATCTTCAAAAATTTATCCTTTGAATTTCATAAAATAAAAAATGAATGAAAAGATATTTCACATGTTATTATTTTAAAAATTAAATATTTAAGAAAAAAACTCAATTTATACCATCAATTCTACAAATAATTTTCAATTATTATGAGAAGAACAGTTCTTTCTTGGTAAATTTAAAAATATAATGATGTATACATTGAATTTTTGTACAAGCATTCAGGTCAAATGGGTTATTCAGGTTATTCGAGTTGGGTTTGGTTCGGTTACGGGTTATTTGGGTTATGAATCATTCGGGTTATAGATGGGTCGGGTTATGGGTTGGATCGGATAACGAGTTCATCGAGTTATGGGTTGATCGGATTATGGGTCAATTGGTTTCGAGTTACGGACGGGCTTCGAGTGGTTGACTTTTTGTCAAATTGAGTTACGAACGGGTTGTGGGTTGGGTGGATTGGGCGGGTTAGTCGGGTCGGGTTCAATTTTTACAGCTCTAGTTACACGTGAGAAAGACAATCTTAAGACAAGATTCCATCAATTATATAGTACCAACATTAAAAATATTTCACAAATGTGTTGTCTTTTCTAAGACATCTTGAATCTGATTGAGGCACCAAGTCTGAGATGGAAGGCGGTAATCAATAAATACGAGCCAACTTGTGCGGACGTGTTGAAGAGTGTTGAAATTATATACTGAATGCACATGAAGATGTTCAGAGAAGAAGCTCCAGCTCCAGAGTTCAGCGAAAAATAAAGTTGCATCAATTATAAACAGTGAATAACGAACTTAGTAACTTACCGTTGTAATTTTGTCGTTGCTGAATATAAATATCTGGAACCAAACAACGACAAAAGGCAAGGATTCCTTTCCCTTAATGTTCATCCTCCTCGAGCTTTCTTCAATAAGACATGGTTGCTGACTTGCTGTAGTAGTTATCACGTTAGTCTTACACACTAAAGATTTCAGTTCGATACTTGGTAGTAATATTTTTTTTTTCAAACAACATGTTGATTTTTTTTTTGCATTTTATGTTTGAAATTTTTATTTAAATGTAAAATAGAAAAATGTTTTCAGATCTACCCACGCAAATGCCAATCTCAGCAACAATTTTTCATTTGTTCTGAACAAGTGTCAATTTTTATTTTTCATTTTGTGTTTTAAATTTTTTTATTTATTTATAGAATAAAAAATTATTTATTAATATATCCATGCACGCAAATGCCAATCACCAGGGTTAATTCACCGGATACTACGTAAGTATTGGTTTCGTTGCTTACTAATCACTTAAGTTTTTTTAGTTGCAATTAAACCACATAAGTCGACTTCTGGTTGCACCGTTATATTTTTCATCCTTAAACTTAACGGTGGTTATCAAATTGAAGTTTTTCACCTTAAATTACACCACACCATTTTTCTTTCACTTTCTTCCTCCCCACAAAATATATTTTTTTTAATTGGAGGATTGAATAAACCCGATCACAATAGCCCTTTGAAATTCTTCTCTAGCTCTGTGGCTGCCGATTCTCTTGTAAAATTATTTATAGAGTTGGAGATGGGGGCTTCGACTGCGAACTTGGTTGAAAAACTGAGTTCTCGTAAGGTTAAAAAGTTTACTTTATTTGGAATGAAACCAAAGTTTAATTCAGTTAGACTTAAAAAATTAATAATAAATGAAACAATTGTAAATTTTGACAAAAATAATAAAGGAGGGCATAAGATAATTAAAGAGAGTGCTAGTAATACCGAAATGAAGATGAAAGAATGTGAGAGAAAATGAAATTGCGTAAATTGATGCGACAAATTTCAATTTGATACCTACCGTTAAATTAAAGCTGGAAAATATAACGGTGCAATCGGAAATCAGCTTATGTGGTTTAGTTGCAACTAAAAAAACTTATAATTGGTTAACATGCAACAAAACCAATACTAGCGCACATAGTGAAACTGTCACCACACGCCTCCCGTCGCTGTCACAAGGAAGACTCTAGAAGATTCTAGAAGGGTGTAGGTACATGCATGCATCTCTAGATTCATGCTCCAATGTACATGCATCCCCCTTATCTATTATGACGCATTCACCATATTTATTATGATACATGTATGAGGCAAGTTCATGTATTGGGGGGACTTCTAGGTTTGTTCATTTATGACGCCTACATACATTGTATCTAGTGGAGATGATGCATATATAAGCATCTCTCTCCCTCACTTTTCATTCATCCAGAAATAGAGAGCTTTCCATTTATAGAGTTTCTCCACACTTGTGAGTTTGAGTGATTGCGAGCTAAGTTGACTTAGTTCTCTAACGAGACTTGAGTGCTAAGTGCCGCATGACCAAGACCTGGTCTGTGACAAGTGGTATCAGAGCTAGGTCGTGACTCATCAAGTGAGAAAGAACCTCGAAGAGATGGCTAGATCCGGAAGTGAAGTTCTCAACTAGGAGCAACAACGTGGTCGTGAGCAAAAGAAGGACACAACCAAGACCAAGTGAGACATATCTACTTGTGAGCCCTTGGCTGCTTTCGAGTAGAGGCTCTCGAGGGCAAATGTGAAGGTTGTGGACCACATCACCATGTTAGAAGACATGGAGACGAACATCGACCAAGTCGACACGGAGGTGTAGACCTCGAAGGGCGACATGCAAGGTGTGGTTGCTCGAATGACGGGTTTGGAGGTGGGGTTGGAAGCTTTTCGAAATGAGTTTCTAACCATCATTACCAACGCCATCGACCCTTTGAAAGAGACGGTTTTCGGGCAGAGGTGACCAACGTGAGGGAGGAGTTTGACAAGCTTCGAGGGGAGTTCAATCTCGTCAAGCGAGCGGTGGCTAACGGACCTGCCACGACGCAATTTACCCCACGAATGGATGTTCCAAGGCAGAAGAATTTTGGTGGGTCGAAGAACGCGAGGGAATTGGAGAATTTCCTCTAGATTATTGAACAATATTTCAAGGCTTCGGGCATCAACGACAACGAGGTCATGGTGCACACCGCCTCACTTTACTTGGTCGATACGAGCATGGTGGTGGAGGAGACGTCAAGGAGACACTGAAAGAGGAACATGTGAGATGAACACGTGGAACGATTTCCGTAGAGAAATCAAGAAGCAATTTTATCCGGAGAATGTGGAACTGGAGGCTTGTGCGAAGCTATGACTACTCACCCACACCGGCAGAATTCATGAATATGTTAAAAAATTCTCTGAATTGCTACTCGAAATCCCCGATTATCCGGACAAGGAGGCCTTGCTCACGTTCTTGTACAACTTGCAACCATGGGCAAGGTTGGAGCTACAACGACAAGGTGTGCAAGACCTTGCCTCCGCAATGGCGATCTCCGAATCCCTTGTCGAGTATCAGAGGCCGGAGGAGCAAGAGGCATTCGACAACAACAGTGGGAGCGACCGTGATGACTACTCCCACGAGGGCAAGAGGACACGCACACCAATGTGGTGACTCAAGCAAAGGAGGTAAGGGGAGAATGGTTGATAAACCTATTTCTTGCTTCTTTGTGATGACCCACATCATGTAAGAGATTGTCCCAAGAGGAGTAACTTAGTCACGATGCTCGTGGAAGATAACTCGGAAGAGGAGGAGGCTCCAAGAGTGTAGGAGCAAACTTTGAAATTGGGAGGCCTAAGGGTGTTAGGCGCAATGAAGAGGAATGAAGGTCCTCCTCCTGCCGAGGAGAAGGGGCGATGCTTTGTGGAAGCAAAGCCCAACAAGGGAAAGACAAAGGCGTTGGTGGACACCGGAGCAAGTGACAACTTCCTCGACGTGGATGAAGAGCGGAGGCTTAGCATCCTATACGAGAAGAGGAGAGGGTGGCTGAAGACGGTGAATTCGGAAGCCACACCATCGATGGAGTGGCTTTGAAGGTGCGGATCACCCTTAGAGATTGGGTGAGAGAGGGGGATTTTCATGTAGTGTCGATGGATGGCTATCCAATCGTCATCGGCATGGACTTCATGGACAATAAGAGGGCTTTTCCATTTCCCTTCGAGAATGCGATGTTAATCTTTGGAGGAGAGAAAATAAGCAAGGTGCCACTATTAAGAGAGGCACACAGAGCTCTAAAGGCTTGCTCAGCAATGCAAGGCGTGACAGGAAAACATGGACCAAGATGGAATAAGCGATAAGCTCGAAGTCTCGACGGAAGAAGACAATGACGAAGAGAGAGCTATATATTGGGGCCATGAGAGTCATGCATAAGCCGGGGCCATCCTTGGCTCACCAGGGAGCACATCTTTTCCGCACCAAGAATGTTGTCAATCCGAAGAAGGCACCACGACGAGGACGTCGTGAATTTGGTGAGGGAGAATGTCACAAGGAAGATTCTAGAAGGGTGCAGGTACATGCATGCATCTCTAGATTCATGCTGCAATGTACATGCATCCCCCTTATCTATTATGATACATTCACCATATATTTATTATGATTCATGTATGGGGCAAGTTCATGTATGGGGGGACTTCTAGGTTCGTTCATTTATGACGCCTACATACATTGTACCTAGTGGAGAGGATGCCTATACAAGCATCCCTCTCCCTCACTTTTCATTCATCCAGAAATAGAGAGCTTTCCATCTATAGAGTTTCTCCACACTTGTGAGTTTGAGTGATTGCGACCTAGGCTGACTTAGCGCTCTAACGAGACTTGAGTGCTAAGTGCTGCATGGCTAAGAGTTGGTCCGTGACACCGCCCGCAGGTGAGTGCAGTGGCGGATCCAGGGGGTGGCCACCCCCGGCTCCGGCCCAGGCCTCCTCTGAATTCGGAGCTAGAATAATGGTTCAGATGAACATATTCAAAACACTCTAAATTTAGCCTAGAAATTCCAGCTCCAAAGATTTTCGTCTAAAAAAACAATGAAACGTAAAATTCTATAAATCTAAATCGTAAAGAACTAAAAGAAATATGAGATTTGTTCCCTTAAAAATTACTTGAGTAGTTGGTGGATATAGGGATGAACACACAATGCAAATTGATTAGTTGATTGATTTATCTAGTGTTGACGTTGTCTATTTCAACGGCTACTACGAAGAGAACCTTTTAAACAACGAAACATGTGAAAACTAATTTACGCAACAAAATGAACGATGGATTTCTCACCAATTGATTAACTATGTTATTTGAAACAGAGTATGTTATTGGTATGAATCTAGGATTCATTATTGATGCATTCGCCAAAGTAAAAGATCGTAATGTACAATTGACATTGTAAAAAAGAACTAGGATCATATACATTTCTGACGATATCTAATTTTGTAATGAATTAATGAACTGCGGCCCGGTGTTCTAATGTGTTCTGCATCCGCAGTCGAGGCCTGGGTGAGTGGGACTTGGACTCATTCACATAATCACAGCTCGCTCACTCCCCCAAATTGGCTGCCCATTGGGCCGAATGAGAAGAAGGGAAAGGGTAGAGAGATCCCAGAGGCTGCAGAACGAACGAAAGATTCTGCAGGCGGGTTGAATATGGAGAATCTCCTCCTCCAACTCCAAAGGCGCTTATTCCCTCTCCTAGGGCTCCTACTTTCATTCCTCTTCGTCTTCCTCTCCCGCAGTTCCCCCAAGGCAAGTCAACCCCTTCTTCTAAGTTCTATCTCTTCACTCTCTTCCTTGTTTATGAAAATTTCCAAATCCGTTGACGAAGCGATTCGGTTTTCCATTTTGCAGGTATCTGATAGGAGTGAATGCAGTCTTCTTCCCCACAGCCATTACTGGATAGCCAGTAATCGAATCGTTACTACGCAGGGTGTCGTTTCTGGTGCAGGTTTGTGTTTAGCTTTTCGTATGCCATTTCATAAGTATTTGAATTCGTTCTTCATATAATGGATTTCCCCTCTCAAACTGGAATCAGTTGAGGTGAAGGAAGGGAAGATTGCATCCGTTGTCAAGGGTGAGGATTGGAAAGGTGATTCCAGGACCAAGCAAATCATCGATTATGGCGACGCCGTTGTCATGCCTGGCTTGGTCGATGTGTAAGACGATATGCGATGCACAAATCTCCTACTTCCATTTTTTTTACTTGCAGACATGAGAATTTGGTCTTGATCCGGTGAAAAAAATGGCAGGCATGTTCATCTTGACGATCCCGGACGAACTGAATGGGAAGGATTCCCGTCAGGAACTAAAGCAGCCGCCGCAGGTGAACAAACTATGCTGCTATTGTGTAACGTTTTATGGTCAGTTTTGGTAGATCCTCTTCAGTATTTAGTCTTCTGATTGTGGCAGGGGGTATTACAACATTGATTGATATGCCACTCAATAGTTTTCCATCAACTGTTTCTTCCGAGACTCTTAGGCTAAAGGTATCATTATGATGATGATCCTGATCATTCTGTATTCTGATTCTGTGTGCTATTTCCCTTTCATCCTTACTAACCGTGTCAGCTTTTAAACTGGTGTTTTGTTTTCACATATTCATGTTAAGACAGAAGCTGCAACCGATAACATATATGTTGATGTGGGTATGCTCCTACAAACCCCCATTCTTGTACACCCTTTATTCTTTACGGACTTTCTGAGTGGTGATTGATGCTGATTGTGTTATATCAGGGTTTTGGGGAGGACTTGTTCCTGAGAATGCTTTTAATGCTACCTCTCTTGAAGCTCTTCTAAGTGCTGGTGCCCTTGGCCTCAAGGTATCACAACATTGGTTAATGCCATCTCTGACAATAGTCTTGGAACAGAGCTTATTTCTATTTTGGATTTGATTCTGTTGTTCTCTTATTCTATATATGGGCTTCTTATGGTTTTCCAATGTTCTGTCTTTTGCAGTCATTCATGTGCCCTTCCGGGATCAATGATTTCCCCATGACAAATGCTAGTCACATAAAGGTTTTTCTCTCCAGCTAGTGGCATCCAGAGAATCAACTCAAGAGAGAATGAATGAATTTAAATTTTTGCCACCTTTAGCCTTGACCAATGTCTCTTGCTTAACCTTTTATCAGGCAGGGCTAGCTGTACTTGCAAAATACAAAAGGCCTTTGCTTGTACATGCAGAGATGGAGCAAGATGCACAAGCGAATTACTTGGAAGATGGTATGAACAACGACCCTCGTTCATATTCAACGTACCTCAGGACTCGCCCACCATCCTGGTTAGTAAATCACGGGTTCATTTCAACTTTTTTCTCCTAGAGCTAGACATTTTTCTGCTGAAAATTATAAAGCCTGGTCGAAAATAAGCGAGTAATGAGCTAGCACCATTTCCTTGTCAATCTAGGGAGGAGGCAGCCATTCGAGAGCTCTTGACAGTGTCAGGGGACACAGCGCCTGGTGGTCCTGCAGAAGGAGCTCACCTTCACGTTGTTCATTTATCAGATGCTGCTTCTTCCTTACAACTTCTAAAGGTACAATCAACCTGAATAAATACATTTGCTTTTTCCTGAACTTGGTTCTTGAGCACATGATCTAATTACAGTGGGTTTTTTGTGACTTGTGTAGGAAGCAAAAGGTAGCGGGCACAGTGTAACTGTAGAGACATGTCCACATTACCTAGCATTCTCTTCAGAGGAGATCGAGGATGGTGATACTCGTTTCAAATGCTCCCCACCCATCCGTGATGCTGCAAATAGAGAAATTCTCTGGAAGGCCGTTTTGGTAAATATTCGGATTGTATATCTTGCATTATTCATCTTTCTTTCACGCCATTATTTTTCCCATTTACGACACTATTGAGTATTCTTTCATTCAGGAAGGAGATATAGACATGCTGAGTTCTGATCATTCTCCATCTGTGCCGGAGCTTAAGCTCCGTGAAGAAGGTAACTTCTTGAAGGCTTGGGGCGGCATATCATCTCTGCAGTTTGTTCTTCCGGTGACATGGTCCCATGGACGGAAGTACGGAGTGAGTCTTGAACAAGTGGCGCTATGGTGGAGCGAAAGACCGGCCAAGCTTTCCGGACAAGAATCCAAGGTCACTAAACCTAGTAACCCCTTTTTTCGACATGAGACCGTTTTAGAACTTTACTCCAATTCTTCAGAAACTTGAATATGCAAATGTATTTTCTTTCTCGCAGGGGAGCATTGCAGTTAGGAAACAGGCAGATATAGTTGTATGGGAACCGGATGTGGAATTTTTCCTCAACGAAGATCACCCCACGTACCTCAAACACCCAGTACGCCTTCTTCTTATCTCGATTTCGGATGATTAGAAATTCATGCTGTTGCATATAAATCACAAATTTCGCTTCCTGTGTTGTATGGTTTTTTCTTGTTTTTACCAGAGCATCTCAGCGTACATGGGGACAAAATTGACGGGTAAGGTATTGGCAACGTTTGTGAGAGGAAACCTAGTGTATGGAGATGGGAAGCACGCTTCTGCTGCCTGTGGTGCTACTCTGCTCTCAAAAGTGCCCGTAGACGTGTAAATATAGTCATTTTCAGACATGCTCTTACTGCTAGTAAGTGAATAATTAATGGGCTAATTCCACTACAAGACCAAGACTATCAAAATTATGTAAAGTATTCAATATGACAATAGTTAATGTAGGGATGACAATTTCAACCCGTCCTGTCGGATTATACCCGACTTGCAGTAGCGTTTGGCGGGCATGGGTATCTACTTCCGACCCGCTCTGTCCGTTCTTGGATTATTATGTCTCAATTTCTTACAGTATATATATTCATATTTCTCCTATTTTGACTTGTCTTCAACTAGTTAGAGTTGATCTTTCAACTAGTTATACTCAATTACCCATTTTATGATCACTATTTTTCATTCATATAGTGTTTCCTCCTTTTTATAGAAAAAGGTACAATTTTGCATGTATTTTTTCAAATAACATGTAAGAGTGAGTCAACCCGTCCCGACTCGTCCCATTGCCATCACTATCCTAATGTATGAGACTTTTGTTGCACTTATGTCCTGACATTTTTGTTTACTGTAAGAAATAACGATTGATCATACGGTGGTCAAAGTAATGTTGACTTTTGCTTATGTGACAAAAATATATACCTCTTGCAAGCCCATCTAGTATATGAAATAAAATGACCGCAAAGTTTACTCAAAGAACATAATGTCTAGTTGCCTGTTCCGGTGAATGTGTTCTATGATACTATGTATGTTATTAAAATAACAGATAATCGAGTTTATCATAAGAGAACTAAACACATTAAAATTAATATCTATGCTAATAGAGAGAGGAATCAAGTATAATTAAGTTGAATTACTACATTCAAAGTAAAGAACAGTTGCAAATTTGTTTACAAAATGGGTTGACACGTTATTAAAGTGCTTACTTGCTGGACACGTTGAGGTGATAAATTTCTAGGCGCCAACATGAGGGGACTTGTTGAAGATTGTTGGAAATTGTCGACCAAATGCACACTAAAGGTCTCTAGTTTGTTTTTTGTTCTAAACATGTTGATTTTCATTTTGCATATTGTGTTTTAATATTTTATATATAAAGTAGGAAATTGTTTTTATATCCACACACAAATGCCAATCACATTGTCAATGGTCCACTAGCCCCCACAATGAAACTGTCACCACACGCCTCCCGTCGCGGGTGAGTGGGACTTGGATGGATTCACAGAATCACAGCTCGCTCACTCCCCCCAAATTGCCTGCCCATAGGGCCGAATAAGGAGAGAAAAAGGCAAAGGGAAGAGAGATCCCAGAGGTTACACAACCAAATACTTCCTCTACAAGCATGTTGAATATGGAGAAGGAGCACATGGATGTCGGTGATGATTCTAGATTGGAATCACAACCAAGATACCCTTATATAACACATGGATGGGGATGATGATTCTAAATCAGAATCACAACCAGCCTCGACGAAAGCTAAGGAGAAGGAGCACAGGAGGAGGTTGTTGCTTACTAGGAACGAATATCGGTGCCTGAGCATTGAGTTTACCAGATGATGCATTCCGCGAGAGTGAAGGATCGGAAACAACCACGATCGGTGAATCAATCGGAGAAGCTGCCGATGGAAGCGACTGTGAACCTTAACCCAACTATTTCTTCTTCTACCATCTCCACCCCCAAATTGTAACCATCCTAGAAGTTTTGAAGAACTTATAAGCTCAGATGAAACCCAGAAGCAGGAAAAAGTAATCATATATGTTGGGAATGAATAGTTTTGAAAAATATAACCCTTTGTTCACGAAAGAGGGTAAAGAGAAGGAGGAGAAAAAATTGGGGGAAATTACAAGGATCAAATGTCCTTCCAATTTGTAGTGAAAATTAGCCTTACACTCATTGTGTCTCTTTTCCCATTCTTATCCCTTCAAATAGGAACATCATTTTCCCCACATTATTTCATTATCATCAAATCAATGACCAACAGACATCATTTGGAATAACCATTTTACGAGACAAAAGATGAAGAACTTCCGGTGGTTCCGGAGAATTCTATTTATTCATTCGATGGAAACATGCATATCTACCACCACTTTCTTATCCTATCTTCTCAATTTGAAGATCCTTATATGGATAATGGATATTGCAGTTGAGTGGGTCTAATTCTAATTGTTTTGTTCCGAAGTAAAGATATTCGGGGCGTGGTTCATCCTATTCAGATATTCATGACTCAAAAGTATTGAATTTGCGAAAAAACAAGGGTTGAACCCGTAATGTACCAATGAGGGAAATAAAGCTTCATTAAATGAAAAGGACGGTAGTTAAGAAGCCCTTTACAACTATGTGCCTGGTACCGAGACGTTCATTTTTATCTAGAAGAGTAGATAGTGGAATGCTATTTCGAGAGATAAATTGATGTGATGCAAACGAAAAAGGCTAAACTTTGTAATCCCAATTCTTGTAGAAATTTTCACTCTCTCTTAAATTTCTCTCCCTCTTTCATGAACAGAGGGTAAGTGGAGTCTCAAATACTACATTGGTGGACATAGCATTGCAAAAGGTATATAGGATTATGTTTCTCTCTCTTAAGGGCATACCTCTTGGAGCGACTCACTTTTTGGGAGAGGAAGGACTTAAGAAACCTCCATACTCCACACACGCGTGCGCCATTCGTCTGACAAACCAATTAGTCGAGCAAGTGGGTGAGTCGGCTCAAAACTATAACTTTTAGGAAAAATTATGAATTAAATATCCGATTCATTTTCTTATACGAAAACATAAACGTTATGAAGCATAATTAATACCAGAACACATTCTAATTGCAAATGTAATTAACATGAATTCCCACAAAGCGGTTATATTCGGGGTTTTGGCTCTTATAAATAGACAACTCCAAATACCCTCTATATGATTAAGAGAGCATAAAACGAAGAGAGTGACATTTAGAGAGCTCTAATTTCTCACAAGCCTAGAGTGAACAAAGTGGCTGATTTATCATAGAGGCAACTAGCTGATAATATGTTATGTGCAATACGAGGCATTGCTAAGAACGTATGAGAGAGTAGGGATGGGATTTGGTGCTAACCCTTATAAGGGTTAGCACCGTGATAACTAGCAAAAAACGCTACTAAAAATAACGAAATCACTACGGATTATTATAAAATCAATACAACGTCTAAGCTAAACCACTACTAATTCAAACCAGTAGTAGTTTTTCCCTTGGTTAGGACGGTGCTAACTATTGTACAATTAGCACCGTAACCGCTCCCGAGAGAGTATGTATTATGTGACTTGGCTAGATTCAATAACCTAGTTTCCATTATTTGGTTTCTAACAATTTGAAGACGTTTTGTTGCTGCTGTGGTGACCAAACAAAACATCAGATATGGCACAAGCAATATCAATCACCCTTCCGCTTCCATGAAGCCAACTTTCGTCGCTGAAAACAAAAGATATTGTCGTACCTTATGACCAAGAAACTGGTGAATTGCCTCATCTTGAGGCTGACATATTTGGCCGAAGAAGCGACCGAGGTGGAGAAGGTTGCCGATGAAGGTAAAATAGTATTACTTCCTGTGAAGAACTACATCCTCAACGATCTGGATGATGATCTTTATGACTAGTGTGCGGATAAGAACAATATCGAGATGATGATTTGGGATACTCTTTATGACATGTAGAAAGTACTCTTTTATACCCCATATTTTGACCAGAACATCATAGTTTCACCCTTTTATCGTCATATATCTTGAATTTACTTCATGATCACTCAAAGTGCGTTCTAGTAGCACTATGCTTGCTTTTATTAGTTTGATGCACTCTCGGTAGTGTTTCTGTAATGTTTCAGGGCATAGCAAACTAGTGGACCTCTGTCTACGTGTTGGGAGACATCAAGACTCGACTGCTAAAAGCAGGACTAAGAATAAAGAAAGGACAAAAAAGGACCAGAAGCTGATTGGGACTTGAAGACATTAAATGACTGTCCTATCTCCCAAAAACCCTAATACAAAGTCTATAAGGGGTCATTTGGAAGTTGTGATTGTTAAATAGATGTATTGTTGATAATGCATGTATAATATTATACATTTATTGTCGAATTTGATGCATTGTAGAATACAACGTTTGGTATGTGTGATTGTGTATGTCGTATCAGCTAAAAGCTGAGACAAAGCAATTTCAACTCAACTATCTCAACAATCACAACTAAAAGTTGAGATGTTGAAACATCGTAACCCGGCCAGGTACTACTTTTACTAAAATGCCCTTGATAAATAAAATACTCAAATCTTAAATTTCAGCGGGAAAAATTTTCATAAATAAAATACTGAAAACACACACTTGTAGCTCAGAGCAAAGCTCTAACACGTGGGCAAAATTTAAACTCAAAATTTAAAATCTCAAACTGATCTCCAGTCTATACTCATAATCATAAATGTAAATAACAAATAATCTCTAATGTTGTTGCTACTGAAACCTTGACTAATCATCCTCTATGACGCTTATACTGTCCTTCTCTAGCTGCCTGCCCTCGAATTCGCTGCTCACTAAACGCTCCTCTAGCTCTTTCTCTAGCTCTTCAAACTGGTGAGTGAGATGGGGTCAGTCTACGCCCTTACGTTAAACATCTTAATAATACTTGATCACCTTACTTAACTTAGTGGAAGTTGTTTTGTACCTCCACTATTAAAAATCTTGACTAATGAAAATGTACTCTTAAAATTCAAATCTCCACTCAAATTCTTGACTGACGTGGGGATCCCTCACTAGCTAGTACGGTTGCCAACTCATACGTATGAGAAGCCATCCAGGCTTTCCTTAAACTTAAACTTAGTTAGGGAAGTCGTAACGATTCATCCCCCTAACCTCTTAATCTTATCGTGGTGGCTCTTCACCACGATTCTCAAGAGCATAACTGCTGCTCATCTTAAAAGTCTCAAGAGCATAACTGCTGCTCTGTCTCAACGATCTCAAGAGCATAACTGCTGCTCTATCTGAAAATCTCAAATGGCAACGGACTGGCGCTAGCGACTAAAAACACTTAAAACGACTTCACCTTCTTGAAGGTGAGTTACTTCTTTAAAAAGAACTTGGTTCTTAAATTCTAATAATTAACCATAACACAAAGCTTTAAGGTCAATAATACACATTCACTTCAATTCATAGCACAAACAAAAACACATATAATCAACCAGAAGCACAATCCAACAACGACAGTCACTTCATCAAAATACTTAAAGCTCGTAATACTTGAAAGAACATGTAAGGCGTAAAATTTACCCCCTTTACACTCACCTTATATTTCAAGTCAATTTGCATGTGTTAACCCATGTGAGGGTGATCATCTTTCACTCGTCGTTCCCAATCCCATGCTTGCTCGATCACATCCATACCCTTTTTCTGACGCAAGCACATTTACGTCACTCATCCCCATGCATCGATCCTAGCTCCAAAATAAAGCCATGATCAAAACTCACACACAAACTAGCTAGCTTGCTTGCATGGTAGGACCTAAAATCCCATAACTCCCCAATAAAAAAAAACCCATATTTCTGATACACGACCCAATCAGCTCATAATTTATTTACCTGAAATTGATCTCGGGTCTCTTTTATGTCTCCTTGACACAGAGCAAATGACTTTGTCCATCATATGAACCATAAGAAACACCACCATGAGGAGGACGTCCAGGAGACTTAGAATGGCTTGACCGACTTCTACGTGCATCTTTCCCATTGAAGTTCCACGACAGTCCAATATCCACCGATGCCAAGTTGATTACTTTGCCAGGACCAGCTTGCTTTGGTGGGATGGCAATAAAAAACGAGATGAGCTTGTTTGTGCGTGCATCTCAATAACCATGTTCACAGACTCCTTCAACTTCCCAATTGCCTTCAAACCTTCAGCTTCCTCAACCCTCCCGGAGAGCTCGCCTTCACTAATATCTTTCTCCCTGCAAGTCGTGCTCAGCCGCTCCCTCCCGGACCCGAGATCGCCGGTCAACTTCTCGATTACCTCCTTCAGCGACTCGATCTCACCTTCCTGCTCAAGATTCTCTCTTTAACGACTCGACGTCGACTTCCCTTTCCTTGAGAGTCGCGAACGCGATGCTCCGTTCGATCTCAGAGCAAGCTCTCTCGCCACTACCGACGACGCAGTCCGCGCCGTGCTTCTCCAACTCGGATTCCAGGCTTTTCTTCTCCCGCTCCAAGGCCTCCACCTGCCTCCTCTTGTCCGTCACGGTGTCGATCAGCCGCTTGTTCAGCGCCTTCAGCTTCTCATTCTCGGATCCTTCCAAGGAGGAAGTCCGTGACAGCGACAGCGGCGGCTGCTGATCCGCCATGGCCAAGACTGGTTTTTGCTCCGGTTGTTGATGCATTGGCGGCGGCGGTGGATGGTTCAGAGTCTCGTTGTTCTCAGTCTTGCCGTTGTGATTGTGGCTGTGTCTCTTCTTCTTTGCAATTCGTGGACAGAGATCGAGCTAGAGGAAAATGGTTGGGCGGCGGTGGGTTTAATTTTGCGGGCAATTGTTTCTGGGGGAAGAGAGGGATCGTGGGGAATTGGTTGATGAGGGCTCGGCCCTCTTTGGCCCCCCTTTTTATTATATATAATAGTAATAATAATAATAATAATAATAATAATAATAATAATAATAATAATAATGATGATGATGATGATAATAATAATAATAATTATTATTATTATTATTATTATTATACTATTTATTCCTAACCCTCGATTGCGACTCTTCGTACATACTCGTTAAACCAACCGTTCACGTATTTTGGTCGAACCTGAACCCAAAATTCGGGGTGTTACAGATATAACAATCACTCAAAATGAGTGATAGTTTCTGTCACATCATAAAAACAATCCATGTATTGTTTCTGCTAAAAAAAAAAAAACGATGCATTGTAAACAATACATGCATAATGACAATCTTAACAAAACAATCGCAACTTCCAAATGACCCCTAAATAAATTTCTAAGGGGAGGAATTCAATAGCCAGTAACAGGAGACATTTGAGAGAAGTTATTATGCCGACATAGTGACTCATTCGACTTAGAGCGAAACGAGCTACGAGGGCCAGATTCATGCGAGAATCAGTGACCTAGTCTTTGAAAACTCTATTCTGGATGGTGGGAGGCGAATCGGAAGGCGAGGAAGACGGCAATGGAGGATCTAGAAAAGCTGAGGAGGGAGCATTTCGCAGCTCGTTTCCGACCACGCCCACCGCCCCGGACCTGGGAGAAGGAGGAAGCGTTGGGGGAGAAGGAGGACCCGCCTTGGACCTTTGAGCACTGGGCGACGGAGCAGTCGAGGGAGCCAAAGGTGGAGGAAGTGTTGGGGGAGAAGGCGGGGGCGAAGAGGAAGGGATAAGAAGGTGGTGGTTTCCATAATTTTTTTTAATTTTAAAATTATAAAAAATAAAAAATTATTATAATTGAGCTGACGTTGATGTGTCGGCTTAGCTGCAAATCCGTCCAACAAATCGTTAGTGTTAACTAGCTGTTAGCCATATTTTTTACTCAGGATAATAGTTATGACTAATAAGTTGTATTCCAATAGTTATGGCTATAATTTCCCGGTGCTTAATAGTACTCGCTAATATATTGTATTTACCCAAAATCCTACTACTTAGCTTAGTTTTAGAAGGTTGGTGGTAGTTGCTTAGTCAATATGGTGGGGAGTCCAATACATTTGTCCTGGCAAATATGGGTCTAAAATGTTTGTTTTCTCAAAATCCTAACAGCCTGTTTGGATACAATTCCGGAGAAATGGAAATTGAAATGAAATTCCATTTTTTATTTTTATAGAATTCCATTTCCAATTCTAGTGTTTGGTATAATTCCTACAGCCATGGAAATAAATCGCATTTTTAACCATAATAAATAATGTAATATGTTTATTTTATTTTGGGAAATAAAATATGAATGAGAGAGAAAGAGAGTAAAATGATAGTGGGTCAATAAAATAATAAAAGTATTGATGGGTCCCACTAATTTCATCTTCATTCTCTCAATTCCTATCACTTTTAATAGAAATTGTAATTCCCAAATTTTAGACCTAATAGAATTCAATTCTCAACCTTTTTATTATTCCAAACATAATATATGGAAATGGAATTCTAATTCCTTACTTTTTTGTCAATCCAAAGGAAGAATGACACAAATATTGTTTTTTTTTAATTTACTACCAATATAGCGGATTAAAAAGTATTGACACAGATATTGTGTTTTGGAGAAAAGAATCGGTGAGACCACCTGAGACTCAGGCGCTGCCGCTTTAGCTGGTTTTTTGGACCGTTTTATTAATTTGACAGCGGCGGCGCCCAAGACTCAGGCGGCACCGCCTGAGACTTAGGTGAGTAGGTGGGAAATCATCCCAGGCGGTGGCGCCCAAGACTAAGGTGGCACCGCTGGCTTATTGCTGGCCACCCACCTTCTAAAAACCCAGCCAATTCCGTTTCAGATTCACACCACAAAAAAAATCGTCCAAAATAGAGGAGAGAGCTCTGGTTGCTGCTGCGAAAATGACTAATAGGTAAGAGACCACATTTATTTTTGTAATTATATTATTCAAATGCTATTATGATTGTGTTTAGTTTTAATTAGTGAGTTTTTTTTTTGTAGTGTTTTTAGAAGATTTGAACTAGTCGTTCGGTGGAAATCGGAGAAAGTAGAGGATAATTTGGGCGTCAAATTCGTTGGTGGTAGTAGTTTTCAGTTGACGGTTCCATCCAGGGTCACGTATCACAAACTTTGTGAGAATCTAATTCCAAGAATACGACGCAGAGACGAAGCAGTACAAGATAGTGATGTGATCACAGGTTTCACTTACCGTCTTCCAGAATGGCAGAATGGTGTTTTATTTCATTACGCGATACCTATTGTGGATGATGATAGCTTGAATGTTCTTTGGAATTTTATGGCACAAAATCCTTATTAATTGGGTGTTGAGATACATGTTGAGCTCAGTGAGGATCATGGTGGAGAGGAAGAAAATGATACATTGAGCGTGCCATCCGATCATGACTATGATGACGGTGATGACGGAGAGGAGGAAGATGAGGAGGAGGAGGAGTAAGAGAGGGAAGGAGAGCAACCTAATTATCCTCCATATTTTTACTTGCAGGGTAATGAAGAGGACGAAGAATTATCACTTGCTGATTCATATGGCGTAATTCCAATGCCTATTGTTGATAGTTTTGAAGGAGAATTCTACAAGGGGCAGATATTTCACTCGAAACAAGCTGCACAGATGGCGATTAAACACCACGCACTACAAAGCAACATTCAATATGGCGTGGTGGAGTCATCACCTTCAATCTGGAAGGTCAGATGCTTGAGGCACAAGGATGACAATTGTCTTTGGATGGTGTGGTTTGGATGTCGAGATGTTGGAGGCGAATGGACTGTGAGAAAGGCTGAGTTGGTGCATTCTTGTAGCAGTACGACTCAACCGACGGATCATCGCCATCTTGATGTCGACATGATATATGAGGCCGTCAAACATTTGGTACGTGCCCAACCAAATCTGAGTGTTCTAACTGTTCAGGCTGTCACATCCCGATATCTAAAACCCTTAAATAACAGTTTTGCTCCGGAGCATATTTAAAATTTTGAAAGAAAGAAATAATAATGTGCTCGAAATACCAATACTGAAAATACATCTTATAATTTAAAAACAAAGCCCTAACATTTGGGCAAACCTCAATCCATAAAGTCTCATCCTTTTAAATCTCCAGTCATTACTCATAATCATAAAGCAAATAACTAAAGATTACAAATGCTGCTTACTCCGATCCGTGGTCAGACATCTTCAGAAGTGCTCACGTGGTCCTCCTCTGGTAGCCTGCTCTCTCACTGGATGCTCCTCGATTGGATGCTCTCTAGCTCCTCCTCTATGACCTGGTGAGTGGGTTGGGGTCAGTCTACGCCATTACTTAAACTTGAATCACTTACGGGTATTCCCTTAAGTGTTCACCTCAAAAACCCGTGGAAGTTATTTATACTTCCACCCTTTAAAATTTAACTCTTAAAACGTGGGAGTTGTTGTTACTCGCCACTCTCAAAAATATTAAACCTTTGACCGACACTGGGATCCCCTCACTAACTAGTCCAGCCGCCCAGCTCATACGTATGAGGGCCAACATAGGCCTTTCCTTAAACCTGTTTATGGGAGTAATCGATTCAACCCCATAAACCTTAAGAGTATATCATACTCTTCCTTTAAACTTCATGTGATGTCTAAGTGATTCATCCACATGTTCCTTAAGAGCAAACTCGTTCTTAAACTTTCACTGGGGCGGGGGACTGGCGTTAGTGAACTACTTTTAAATCTTTTCACCCTAATTTAATTAGGAGTGAAATACCTCTTAAATGTTGATCCTTAAAGATCAAACAACCTTCATTAAATGAACATAATATAAAAGCTTCAAGTAAATAATGAAAGCTCAAATAATCATATACTTCACAATCATAACTCAAATAGAGTATCTCAGATAATATCTCAACTAACATGCTTTATCAATCACGACATAAATCAATCACTGATATACAATTCACATAAACACACTTACTTAAAACTCGTAAGTCAAATACTTGAAAATACGTAAGGCGTAGAATTTACCCCCTTAAACCACTCACCTCTCAAATGACGATTCTTAGTTCCCTCGACGTGAAATCTTTAATCTGATTGCTCCCTTAATCCTATAAACCGAAATTATCTTCCCTTAGTCGGTAATCAATATATTTTAGTCACTTTGGCGTATTTGGGAAAATTTCCCTCATTGATTACTTAGTCCCAAAATCCTTTAAAAATGGCCCTCAATCTCTTTTAAATCATTTCTTCAAAACTAAACTTTTCAACCTCTTTAATCAAAAATTAAATCATCTCAAGCAATTCAATATATCTTAAAATAATTCTCATACAATTCTCATAAACTTCTCAAAATATATTTTCCACTTAAAACTCCACATTCTGACCTTGGTTAACTCAAATCATTAATCCCAATTAATAAACATTAGCCCCTCTTTTAAATAACCTCTTTTTCCTATTAAACTTAATCATATATGATTTTTAAACCGAGTCACGAAAACTAATAATTCTGATTCATAATTTTATAACATCAATAAATAATCCTAGTTTCATGGAAAATTATCAATTCACCAAAACGACTTCGTACAGTATTTTAATTAATTAAAACCAACATTCGTTCAATTTTTATAAATACAAATACAGATCCAAAAATTCTAAAATTTATACACGAGCATCATACAAATAATCTCAAATTTATAAAATTATCCTATTTTGAAAATACGCACGAAAAAGTGTCAGAAATTAACATAACCATAAAAATCACGATTTTCGGGCCAAATTATCAAAACTTAAAACTCCGAGGGACTAAACCGTATGTACTGGATACATGGGGGACTGATCTGGACAATAGACCATCAGTCTTTAGATACAACCAAAATTCCATCACTAAAAGATTGTAAGTTGGGTCACTAATTCCCAGAATTTCACAACTCGTATAATTAACTTAAACGTCGAAATTGACGAGAGGTATCGGGTTCGCTTACCTCTTGGGCGTTCCTATACCTAGTTCCTAGTTAGTAGGACCTCTGTTCCTCTTTTAGATTGACATTCGATCACTCCGCTCCTTCCCGACGAAGCTACGGCGCAAGAAAGACTTTAGTTAGTCAGCCATATAAGTAATTTGAGGTTTGGATCGGGATGGTTTCGTCATTATTACCTACTGGCCAAGAGGGCGGAAGAGATAAAAAATCTAGATGCTGGCGGTGTGGCTCTGTTCCGGCAACAACGAAGACGGCGACAGTGAGAAGCTTTCGGCGGTGTGTTGTTTTGATGGATGGAAGGTTGATGATAATGATGATGATGGGCGGGAAGGTGGGATGGGGAAGCAGTAGTGGTAATAGGGAGATGGATGAACCGATAATGGTGGTGTATGGCCGGGTGGAGAAATGGTATCATTCCATGGAAGGGGTTTATTTAAGCTTGCACCGACACTTCTCTACAGCTGCAAGTACTGTGTGCTTCTTTATTATGCCAACTCATACTTGTTTTGTGGAAGAGACATAACAAACATTATCTTCTTCTACTGATGAAATAATGTGATGGGCTAAGTTGGAAGGTGGTGTTTCCCGTTGGCTCTCCATTGGGAGGGTGGGGATTGATTGGGGGTTATAAAGGGAGGAAGAGATGGAATTGTGTACAGATGGGAGGTGGGGTTTATTTGGGAGGTGGGTTGACGTGGGGTGGGGTGGGTTTTATATTTTTTTTTTAACTAATAATAATAAGTTATTATTACTATTATTATTATTATTATTAATTCACAGTTTTAACCATTTGTACGT